CATTTTCTACCGTTTAGTCCCTTGCGGGGTCACGGGGGGGCGGAGCCAATCCCGGCCGGCAATCGGGCGAAGGCGGGGTACACCCTGGACAGGTCGCCAATCCATCGCAGGGCTAACACATAGACGAACAACCACACACACGCATTCCAATGGGCAATTTAGAGACACCAATCAACCTAAGCTGCATGTGTTTGGACTGTGGGAGGAAGCCGGAGCACCCGGAGAGAACCCACGCAAGCACGGGGAGAACATGCAAACTCCAACAGAAAGGTCCCAGGTGGGGCCCGAATGTTATATTTATTTATTTATTTTCACCTTAAAATGTCCTAAGTGTGCACTCAGATGCTTTGAGCATACAAAGAGATACCTGTTCAGTAGTTTAAAGGTAAATGTTGCACCTGTTACCAAACTAATTTTCAAAATAAACTCAACGCTAATGTTTTTCCATCATAGTACAGTTATTTAATCTTCCACATCCATTTTTTTTAAGTCAAGCAAGACTAATGTAGTCCACTTGCATTTAGGACTTAAAAAATACTAATTTGTTAAATCACAGAAACAAAATAAACAATTTGAAGCTAAAATGTTGTTTTCAAGGAAAAATTACTGACTCCCAGTTTTGTGCACACTTGCTTTTGACTTTACTCATGTTGGACTGCGTTTCTTGTGATGGGCAACCAAAATCAAATTAGTCTATACATGAAATATTAATGTATATGTACTTATTGTAATTATGTCTGTTAATGTCCGTTTAAAATGACCTCATTTGAAGTTTTAATCTAGAGTTATTTCAGTCCTGTAATAAGTGTCTCCACTGGAGGGCGCCAGTTAGTCAGATATGAAACCTGACACTGATATCCCAATCTGCTCCTGGTTTGGGATCAGTGGGCTGCTGTACACCTTATCCAAGTACAGATAATAGGGAAACAAGTAATTAAGACAGACATATAATTATAATGATCTTTACAGCTTTCCATTTGCATTGCATTCAGGAAGAATAGCTAGAAGGGATATATAGGGATTGCCGCTCCTCTTGCTCTGCTCTCTCATTATTAATTCTCAAAATTTCTACCACCACCTCCATGCAGAAACAAAGATAAAAGTTGGAGGGGAGTCCTGAACAATTTCCAACGTTCCTGCAATTCTACCAAACGCCACATGAGGGCACCCTTCCCTTGAAGTATGTTCTCTATTTGCTGTAATTTGAAGAAGCTACTTTTATGCTGTGAATTAAAATGCATCATCCCCCAGTTCATAACCAATTTCTGGCAGTTAAATAGTTAATAAACATTTAGTATTGATGCATGCCAAAAATTAGACATTTAAAACTTAAAACTAAATGTCATCTGGTGTAGAGAGACATGAACAAGACAGACAGGGTTGTTTTGTATTTATTTCTAATGTGTTTTATTTTTATTATTTTTTTTAAATCTGTCCACAAAGTCATATTAGTCACTACTATGTTAGATCAGTTTTCCCTCACTGCAATGGCAGTCAACTACACAAGAGCCCAGACCCAGCATGGTCCCCTCACCTCACAACGTTTTTTCAGATACTCATTAATCTAATTCTATCCCTTTGGTGAAGTATTCATATTCGCAGTCAGGAAATAAAGTGTGATTTTCACAAAAATCACAAGGGTGCCACATTGCTTTCATTTGAAAGCAGGTGTGAATGTTAGCAGAATTTTTCTCACTTAGCTCAGAGTCAGACGAACTCAAGGATGCCTTTTTATGTATATTTATGACCTTAAAGAAGTGAGCTCACCCTTGTTTTGCTATCTCCATGATATCTCCATAGAAGCTCTGCCCAGAAATGGGGAAACACACCTTCAACACAGAAATCTCTTAATAAGGTTTCTTAAAAACACACCAAAATGGCAATAATTACTGGATTGTATGAAACTATTTTAACTAAGAATTAGTTCCTACCACTCTGGCTGGTCATATATATTCAGATCTTTAAGTGAAATAAGCAACTTTACGCATCTATTTTCATGTAACAGATCCCACCTTTGGAGAAATGTTAAGGTTTATTACACTGTTACTGTTAAACTTACTTTCTGACTGCTTATAGAACATAAAAGGCACCTGTGTGTTTGTTTAACTCTTAGTAAGTTTTTTTATTTTTATTTTTTTACCTTCGCTAGAGTAAAATCATTACTCAAGCGCTGCTGCTTCAGTGTTTCAGAGAGGATTTTCCTTCTTGTGGAATAAATTTGGCAATGAAGTTTGAGCCAAATGCTGCTTATTGTGGCCTTTACAAACCTAAGAAGAATGCTACTTAAAGGATTTAATTTGGAAATCTGTCATCACATGTAGAATTACTGGCTATTAATCACTGAGAGGGTAGAAGGGAACATCACTCGGGTTTGTGCTCTCTTGAAAAAAAAAAACAAAAACACGACATCTCTATTTCTATCTGTACAACATTCAACAACACATTTCTCTTGATTTTTTTTTACCATAATGCCAAAACAATAATAATCATCATCATAAGAAGAGCATTTTTCCATCTCAGCGGCATTGAACAAACACACAAACTGAAATAAAACTCTAATAAAGGCCTCAATACCAGATAGTACACGTCACCTTCGAGTGGTGCTAGAGATAGATTACGGACAGAGAGACATGGAGGATGAGCAAGCATGAAATAGAGAAAAGGAGGGAGGAGGGGCTGAAGACAAAGTATGAGAGAAAAGAGAGGGAAGGAGAATTATTGTGTGATTTTAAGTTGATACATGCTTTAGTGTCACGTTGGACATGTTTTGGCACGTCATGAGATTAAATACAATATTCATTAGTCTTAGACTTGGGCTTTGGTTTACCAAGGGTTAGTATTAAAACCAAAAGTAGCCTAACCCTACATTTCTAGTGATTTTATTTTTACTTGTCTAAGTGTTAGGTAGTCCATTCTTTCATGAGTCTAGCCATGCTAGATTGGAATAAGGCCTAGTGACCTTGTTTAAGGCCGAACAGGCCCGAACAGTAGGAGACAAATCTGATCCCTGGATAGCGGGGTCAGGAAGTAAAGACACAAGAAAACCATTAGGAAGATAGACTGAGGTGAATAAGGAGAAGAAGAGGAAAAGGAGGAGAACCGGAAGTGGAAGGGCAGGAGAGGGAAGGAAGAGAGTGTGTAGATATAGGCTAAGTGCTTTTGGTGAGTTTTACAAAATACACCAGGAAGTGCTTGAAACAGAAGGCACGGTGGCATTGACAGTAGTTGTTAAGGAGACACCACTAAGGGACTTTTACTACAAAACTCATAAGGTGCTCTAAAAAAGAACTTAAACACATTAATGCACATTAAGGTGTGGTTGCAATCATGGAATACCCCCATCAAAAGGTAGTCAAAGCAGATAAATAATGGTTGTTAACTAGTGTAAGGGGACATTACAGCCTCACATCCATATTGTTTTTTTTATAAATATACCTTCAAACCACAAAATTCATGATAACAGATTGATATCTTTATGTATAGCAGTAGATTTATGTTTACACAAAAATGATGTACTTTGATTATGAACTTTCTTTAACAACCAGTTCAGTGGTTGGGTGTGTGATGCACTGATCGACTGATTGACCAATTTTGCGACTCAGTGGGGTAAATCTAATGAAACCACAGCTTTACACACTTTAAACAACAACAGAAAGTGACAACTTCCATTGAATAAATGTTTGGTCTATCGATAAAGTTGAAATAAAAACAACTACTTTGGGAACTCAAACCTTGCACAGTGCTCTGTATAGACATTCCAACTAGTCTGAGCTCACAAACATTATAATCAATATTACCTATATTGATAACCTTTATCTGTAAGCTTCTTGAAATAAAAATAAACAAAAGTCTGTTTTTTCTTGTCTTTACAAAAGCTACACATATTCTACTGGGATGTCTATGCATTTGTTAGTGTTTTAATAATTACTCCTACCATTGTCTTTCTTTTCTTATAAAAAAAAAGCAGAAGAAGAAGAAGAGAGGGAATCTACTCATCTAAAAGACACCATACCCCAAAAGTACAGTTCTCACATTTAGTCCTGTTTGGCAGGGATACTGCTTTCTTTCTCTTTCTCTTTCTCTATCTCATGTCTTCTCTCCAGTGGAGAAAAAAATGAAATTGTTCCTTTGTTGACACAGTTGCCTAGTCTCAGTCTCTGTAAAAGGATGTGTCAGCTGATTGTGTTCGGGGGCTCAAGCGACATCCCTACAGCCCTCAAACAGATTCCCGCTCTGTGTTTTGCTCTTTTCCATGCATCTACAGTATGATGACCTTGAGTTGCCTTGGCAACCGGAACCCGCATTCAGCACCATTGTAAACACTGAATTCTGAACCGTGACTCCTTTTTATCACTCAGCCCTTTGACCTCTTTCATCACATTACACATTGTGTATTTTCCTTACTTTTTGTCTTCTTTTCAAGCTGAGCCACAAACGGCACCCGTCTGGGTCAAGGATATCACGACACAATGTAGTATTTCATCTACAACTTAACTATTCACAACACCCTAGACCCACTTTTGACAAATATACTGTACTTAAACTGTTTAACCTGTATTTTCAGATAAAATCACCTATCATAGCATTAATGGGCAACAATACCAGAGACCCTCTTGACAACACACATTAACAGGCACTAATTGAAAAAGAATTTTTTTTTTTACAAACTTTGCTTTCTGTTTTTCTTTATAACATTTGTCTAGTAACACTTTTCAGACAAACAAGGCAGTGATATACAGTTGAAAGTACACGGCCTGTAACATTTACCTCGTGCCTTAAATTAATACCATATAGCTTAACTGAGGTTCTCAGCTTGAAACTTTTCTTGAATAAACTCAAAAATTTCCTCCATGTCTGAGTGAGTTGAGGAGGAATTTGAAGCGTAAGATTTCAGGCTGTTCCGTGTTCAGTCAGGAGAGCATCTCTTCACAGCTGGCTTCAATTTGGTCACTGTAGTAGTCTGGGATATGGTCCATTAGTAGTGTGGAAGAATTTCATGACTCTGGAATGATGAAGGACCTGCTTAAGGTCTGTTTCTTTCACGTATCAAATAGATCATCTTAAAAATTGTCCATCTTGGTGTGGGGGGGAAAAAAACTGGAAAAGTGGCCTATAAAATCCTGAAAAGAGGCATCATGCTCTTTTTTTGGACAGGCAGTTTACTGTATTTTGTGTTGTACCACGCTGTCAGAACTGAAAAAGACAAATAATTTCAGGGAAATGTAACAGCTGTGATTTTTCTCAAAACCCTCTGAAGTATCAGTTTCCAAGACTGCTCACATCTGTCTGTAAATTAAAGTATAAAGGGGAAAATCTTCATTTTCTCCTTGAACCCCCTTTCTCTCTGCAAAACGTCCTGGCCATTCTTCAGCTCTGCGGCAAATGTAATTGAAAACACTGGAATCGACTCTCCAGTTTAAATTATGTCATCCAAACTGTTTTAATCTGTCAAGACTCTTTCCTCCCCTCTCACCATGTGTTTGGAGCTCAGGGCTGGTGCAAGAGAGAGGGACATTCTCAAATTGTGGTCCTGTGAATCCTCCAGGCTGTTCTCCAAATTGTCTTCCAGTTCTTCCTCTTGCACGTCTTCCTCTCCCTCTGTCTTTCCCTTGAGTGCCAAACCATGTCTTACATTCTTGGATACAGAGGCCACATTGGAGTTTGGGTGGTTGGGAACGTTGCCCAGATGTTCCGTTTTATCCTCAGAGAGCCCATTGAGAGTCTGGGCCTGTGTTGAGAACCATTCCTCCAGGGGTGCCTGGGACTCAGCCTCACTTACGTGCCCCCATATCCCCAAGGAATCAATCTTGGAGTGAGCCGTTCGGGGTCTGGTGGCCTTTGGGGGTCCATCATCATTCAAGGTAGTCAAAGAGCCCCTTTTGCGCCTGGACTTACTGGTGTGGTTGACCTGGAGATGCATGGCCATTAACTCCGCTGAGGACGTACGGAAAGGGCAAAACAAACACTGGCTCAGTTTGGCCCCTGATGAACTATTACCACCACTGACACTTCCTCCTTCCCCTACACTCATAACTGCATCTTCTTCCATCCCACCAAGGCCAAATGAGGGACGACGGGACAGATCCAGGGGTTCAAACCCACTTTCTTGAGTTGAAGGCGTAGGCCCTTCCTTGTCACCTGATGACTGAACGATTCGGCTAGTAGTAAGGGGCTTACGCCGGGACACGTTAGGGGCTTTTGGTGGGGGAGACTCCCTAATCCAGCCTCCTTCCATTCCACCTTGATAAAGGGCACCCATCACCCCAGACAAATACCTGTACTGGGTCTCCAAGTCCACATCCCTTAGAGCTGCTAAGGCCTTTCGATGCTCCCGCTGGTCTGGTAGCCCCAGCAGCCAGGACTGCTGGCTCAATCGAGAGGAGGGGGTGTCAGCTGAGCTTCGGTTGACTGTGCAGTGGTTGAGTTGGGATCTGCGCTGCTTGACCAGCCCAGAGGTTCCAGAAGTCGCACTGTTGATAGTGGAGGTGAGACCAGCAGATGAGCTGGAGGACGATGACAAGGCATTGCGTTGTTCTCTGTGATGCCGCTGAAGGTGGTATTTCAGTGAGCCAGACTGGGTACCCGCATAGTCACAGTGGGGACATTTGTAGGGTCTCTCACCTAGAGAAATAGGATTAAGAAAATTAAATAGGAAAATGTTTTTGGACATAACTAGCTTCTGTAAGTGCACCATTATTGGAAAAGTCAGAAAAATCAGGCTGCTAAAAACATTTACAAGGTCATATGAAACAATATGAAAGTCTGCCACCAACTCCCAGATGAAATTGTTAGGGCAAGTTTCAAGAGTCAGTTAATTGGTTTTCATATGAACAAAAGACAATGGCTTCTTGGGAAGGTGGAAAATACATTTAAGAATCCAAAACATTACAGCGTTTCTTATAAAACACCTATAAGTAATATTTTGGTAGATAGATTTTGCAAATTCACATATAGTTTATGATCCCTTAGGCAGTGTTGAGTGGGAGATGTAGTTGCACATCTTAAAGGAAGATGGCAGTATTCCATCACTGATTAAAAATACACTGTT